ACGTCAACAGTGCAGCCAACAACTACTCTAACGGTTACCACAACCGAAGAACCAACTACTACGCTTACGTCAACAGTGCAGCCAACAACTACACCAACAGTTACTACAGCCGAAGAACCAACTACTACGCTTACGTCAACAGTGGAGCCAAGAACTACACCAACAGTTACCACAACCGAAGAACCAACTACTACGCTCACGTCAACAGTGCAGCCAACAACTACACTAACAGTTACCACAACTGAAGAACCAACTACTACGCTCACGTCAACAGTGCAGCCAACAACTACACCAACAGTTACCACAACCAAAGAACCAACTACTACGCTCACGTCAACAGTGGAGCCAACAACTACAACAAGAGTGACCACGACTGAAGGACCAACTACTACGCTCATGTCAACAGTGCAACCAACAACTACACCAACAGTAATCACAACTGAAGAATCAACTACTACGCTCACGTCAACAGTGCAGCCAACAACTACACCAATTACCACAACTGAAGAATCAACTATTACGCTCACGTCAACAGTTCAACCTACAACTACACCAACAGTGACAATAACTGAAGAACCAACTACTACGCTCACGTCAACAGTGCAGCCAACAACTACACCAACAGTGACCACAACTGAAGAATCAACTACTACGCTCACGTCAACAGTTCAACCAACAACTACATCAACAGTGACAACAACTGAAGAACCAACTACTACGCTCACGTCAACAGTGCAGCCAACAACTACACCAACAGTGACCACAAATGAAGGACCAACTACTACGCTGACGTCAACAGTCCAGCCAAGAACTACACCAACAATTACCACAACCGAAGTACCAACTACTACTCTCACGTCAACAGTGCAGCCAACAACTACACCAAAAGTTACCACAGTTGCAGAATCAACTACTATGCTCACGTCAATAGTGCAGCCAACAACTACACCAACAGTTACCACAACTGAAGGACCAACTACTACGCTGACGTCAACAGGGCAGCCAACAACTACACCAACAATTACCACAACTGAAGAACCAACTACTACACTCACGTCAACAGTCCAGCCAACAACTACACCAACAGTGACAACAACTGAAGAACCAACTACTACGCTCACGTCAACAGTGCAACCAACAACTACACCAACAGTGACAACAATTGAAGGACCAACTACTACGCTGACGTCAACAGTGCAACCAACAACTACACCAACAATGGCCACAACTGAAGAACCAACTACTACGCTGACGTCAACAGTGCAACAAACAACTACACCAACAATTACTACAACTGAAGGATCAACTACTACACTGACGTCAACAGTGCAGCCAACAACTACTCTAACGGTTACCACAACCGAAGAACCAACTACTACGCTTACGTCAACAGTGCAGCCAACAACTACACCAACAGTTACTACAGCCGAAGAACCAACTACTACGCTGACGTCAACAGTGGAGCCAACAACTACACCAACAATTACCACAACTGAAGGACCAACTACTACACTAACGTCAACAGTTCAACCAACAACTACACCAAAAGTAATCACAACTGAAGAATCAACTACTGTGCTCACGTCAACAGTGCAACCAACAACTACACCAACAGTGACAACAACTGACGAAAAAACTACTACGCTGACGTCAACAGTCCAGCCAACAACTACACCAACAGTTACCACAACTGAAGAACCAACTACTACGCTGACGTCAACAGTCCAGCCAACAACTACACCAACAGTGACCACAATTGAAGGACCAACTACTACGCTCACGTCAACAATGCAACCAACAACTACACCAACAATGGCCACAACTGAAGAACCAACTACTACGCTGACGTCAACAGTGCAACCAACAACTACACCAACAATTACCACAACTGAAGGACCAACTACTACACTGACGTCAACAGTGCAGCCAACAACTACTCTAACGGTTACCACAACCGAAGAACCAACTACTACGCTCACGTCAACAGTGCAGCCAACCACTACACCAACAGTTACTACAGCCGAAGAACCAACTACTACGCTTACGTCAACAGTGCAGCCAACCACTACACCAACAATTACTACAACTGAAGGACCAACTACTACACTGACGTCAACAGTTCAACCAACAACTCCACCAACAGTAATCACAACTGAAGAATCAACTACTATGCTCACGTCAACAGTTCAACCAACAACTACACCAACAGTGACAACAACTGACGAACCAACTACTACGCTGACGTCAACAGTCCAGCCAACAACTACACCAACAGTTACCACAACTGAAGAACCAACTACTACGCTGACGTCAACAGTCCAGCCAACGACTACACCAACAGTTACCACAACTGAAGGATCAACTACTACGCTCACGTCAACAGTCCAGCCAACAACTACACCAACAATTTCCACAACTGAAGAATCAACTACTACGCTCACGTCAACAGTTCAACCAACAACTACACCAACAGTGACATCAACTGAAGAACCAACTACTACGCTTACGTCAACAGTGCAGCCAACAACTACACCAACAGTGACCACAACTGAAGAACCAACTACTACGCTGACGTCAACAGTGCAACCAACAACTACACCAACAATGGCCACAACTAAAGAACCAACTACTACGCTCACGTCAACAGTTCAAACAACAACTACACCAACAATTACCACAACTGAAGGACCAACTACTACACTGACGTCAACAGTGCAACCAACAACTACACCAACAGTAATCACAACTGAAGAATCAACTACTACGCTCACGTCAACAGTCCAGCCAACAACTACACCAACAATTTCCACAACTGAAGAATCAACTACTACGCTGACGTCAACATTTCAGCCAACAACTACACCAACAGTTACCACAACTGAAGAACCAACTACTACGCTGACGTCAACAGTCCATCCAACAACTACGCCAACAGTTACCTCAACTGAAGAATCAACTACTACGCTCACGTCAACAGTTCAACCAACAACTACACCAACAATTACCACAACTGAAGGACCAACTACTACACTGACGTCAACAGTGCAACCAACAACTACACCAACAGTAATCACAACTGAAGAATCAACTACTATGCTCACGTCAACAGTTCAACCAACAACTACACCAACAGTGACAACAACTGAAGAACCAACTACTACGCTCAAGTCAACAGTGCAGCCAACAACTACACCAACAGTGACCACAACTGAAGAACCAACTACTACGCTCACGTCAACAGTGCAACCAACAACTACACCAGCAATGGCCACAACTAAAGAACCAACTACTACGCTCACGTCAACAGTTCAACCAACAACTACACCAACAATTACCACAGCTGAAAAATCAACTACTACGCTCACGTCAACACTGCAGCCAACAACTACACCAACAGTTACCACAACCGAAGCACCAACTACTACTCTCACGTCAACAGTGCAGCCAACAACTTCACCAACAGTTACCACAACTGCAGAACCAACTACTACGCTCACGTCAATAGTGCAGCCAACAACTACACCAACAGTGACCACAACTGAAGGACCAACTACTACGCTGAAGTCAACAGTGCAGCCAACAACTACACCAACAGTTACCAGAGCTGAAAAACCAACTACTACGCTCACGTCAACACTGCAGCCGACAACTACACCAACAGTTACCACAACCGAAGCACCAACTACTACGCTCACGTCAATAGTGCAGCCAACATCTACACCAACAGTTACCACAACTGAAGGACCAACTACTACGCTGACGTCAACAGTGCAGCCAACAACTACACCAACAGTAATCACAACTGAAGAACCAATTACTACGCTCACGTCAACAGTCCAGCCAACAACTACACCAACAATTACCACAACCGAAGAACCAACTACTACGCTCACGCCAACAGTGCAGCCAACAACTACACTAACGGTTACCACAACCGAAGAACCAACTACTACGCTCACGTCAACAGTGCAGCCAACAACTACATTAACGGTTACCACAACTGAAGAACCAACTACTACGCTCACGTCAACAGTGCAGCCAACAACTACCCCAACATTTATCACAACTGAAAAACCAACTACTACGCTTACGTCAACAGTGCAGCCAACAACTACACCAACAGTTACTACAGCCGAAGAACCAACTACTACGCTTACGTCAGTGCAGCCAACAACTACACCAACAGTGACCACAACTGAAGAACCAACTACTACGCTGACGTCAACAGTGCAACCAACAACTACACCAACAATTACCACAACTGAAAGACCAACTACTACACTGACGTCAACAGTGCAACCAACAACTACACCAACAGTAATCACAACTGACGAACCAACTGCTACGCTCACGTCAACAGTTCAACCAACAACTACACCGACAGAAGGGCCACCTGAACCATTTACATGCGAATTTGACTGCGACGTTTTTAATTCCTTTGATGGAAATAGTTTTTACTTTAAAATTTGTGATAACATCATTACAAAAACAGTTGGAGATGTACATCCATTTGAAGTGATAGGTATTTTTACATTACTTTGTTGTAAAATAAATACGATATGAACACTTATTACTTATTTAAACTTATTAAACTTTGAATTACTTTGTTATTACACAAATATTATTATATATTATATGTATTACTATGTATATGATATATGTCTATTATAATATGTATAACACTTTGTACTGTTTTAATTAGTTCGTCGACCGCTGGGTGATAGAGATTCCTGTTGCCTTTGTGACTTTGAACTGGAAGTGAATATGGATCGGTATTCAATTGTCGTCTATACTGTCGATAGTCACGTTTTAAGTGTAAATTCTACACCTGTCAGTCTCGGTCAGCTTCAAGCATTTAGTCAGACTATAAAAGCGGAATCCGGAATGACTATAAAAATGGTTGTTTTAAGTTATATTTTATTACGTACTGATATATATATATATGTATATGTATATATATGTGTATATATATGTATATATATATGTATATATATATATTACCAGTTTTTCTACCTTCAAAATGTCTGTACATGGGTAGGCCTATATAATTATTATACTGTATTATATGTATAACTGCTAAAACGTTATATCGTGTACTTACTTAAATGTTTAACAAGAATTTATACTTTTTAGACTGGCAAGACTGTTGTGATCGAGTCTGATATTGGTATCACTATAAAGTGGAAAGATAACAGACTACTGCATATAAACGTAGCTAGAGAACTTGAGGGTGCACTAAATGGACTGTGTGGTATACCTAATGACGATCCAGAAGATGATGTTCCACCCAGCATTTTTCAGCCAGCTTGCAATTGCAGCGATTCTGAATGTCGTAACTGTTCTACAATTTACCCTAACTTACCAAATATATGCGACAGTCTATGGTAAATATATTTTAATCCCACATGCTGAGCATTATTTAAATACCATTCACATATTACCATAGTATTGTGACAAAGAATTTTTTTAATAGCGCGCTTTTGATCATTCTCTAAATTATAAATACTCCAATGAACTTAAATAGCATAACTAGACATTATAGTAAATGAAGCTGATGTAAGCTATCGGATTAAAGCCTCCATCAGTTGCTGATGTATATGAATATAATGGACCTATAAGTTATTGAAACAAAAATTGGGTATGTCAAGTGTGTACATTCTTAAGTACATATGTTTTTTTTTGTGTGTGGGTTAATGAGAGAGCTGAGGACTTATCACTCTTTATAAATACTTTTTGAACAGCATTGTAAAGATATTTATTTGCATGGTCTCGGGTGTCTGGATTACTTAAATCTAAAGAGTTTTTATTTTACTAAACAATATTTGAGGAGCATAACTATTTTCATATCATTTCAAGATGCGTTTTACTTATTAGAACTAGATCTAGCTTTGTAGATGCTAAGTTTTTTAGAAAGTAGATTTTATTTTATATTTTTTATTTTATTCAATTTCCAGGTAAACTAATTACACAAAAAGAAACAAAAACGAATGAAAGCTCTAGCTGAAAAGTTAACAGTACCCCGGGGATTGACATAGGTGTAAACCACTATCAGAGTGGCTCTCCATTACTGCAGTTAATCAAACTAGCACACATACAATAACACAAATTTAAATTTAAAATAATTTAGGTTAAAATATTACGAAATATAAAATGACCAATTACAAGATTTTAACAATTTGATGTACAAAATTATTAAAAGCCAATAATTAAACAATTCAAATTGAACGAATAGAAGAATGAAATAAAGTGATAAAACTTCTTCGATTAGGTCTCCCATAAACTTGGAAAAATAATTTAAAAATAAGAATAATAAATGAATTGGTTCAAGCAAATGTTTAAACAGTACAGAATCATTATACCTAGAGTTGAATTTTTAAAATCATGTTTATTAAAATCAATTTCACTAAGAAAGTTCTTAACAATAAATAAAATACTATACTAAGGTACTTCAATGTCTGTTCCATTGTTGGTAACTGCAACTGCTGAAGCTGCTGCTCAAATTCCCCTTTAGAAAAAAACTTCTGGTACTCCGGAGAGGTTTTTATTAATAGGTAGTTTTCGCCGCGCGACGTTAACCTTAACTTTTATATATTATATTTAATACAAATTGTAAAAAATATACATTGTAAACAACAAACAACCACTCTAGACGTTAAAAAATAGTTATGGATGCGTGATTGTCTGCCGAACCTTGGTAAACTTATAAAATGTTACATTGAAACTATTTACTACTGAATTACTCTTATTACACTTTATTTACTCTTTCATTCGAAAATTGAGGCGATAAGATTTTTTTCGATGGTAAAATAACTAAACTATTATAACTACTATTCATTTTTTAGGGAGCTTGGATTTTCTCGTTGTGAACAGTTTGTGAATATCAGCAAATATGTAGACATGTGTAAAGAACATATTTGCGATTGTGTTGAGAAGGCATACATGAAAGATGAAGATCTGGTTTTCGATGACGTAACCAATACATGTGCTTGTGAAATATTTGAAAACTTCATGTACGAATGTAACAATCACCCAGAAAATCCGACTTGTTTTGATTGGCGAACTCCGGAACTTTGTTGTAAGATTGTTTCCCTTACATCCCCTCATTACCATATAACATCTATCTTTAAAAATTTACAATGGCTCCCTATTAAATAACGTTACTTTTGTTAACTGTTGAGTCACTTAGCTTTAATTAACCTGTCTATTTACTAAGTCAACTATGTTCCCTTTTGTAATCTTCGTTCTTCATCTAAATCCTGACGAACATAAATAGCGGTCGACGTGACTTTTCTTTCAAGTCTCGTGTACACGAACTTAAAGCACATAAAGCAGTGCAACATTCTCTTATAATTGTTTCTATCTTGAACTGCTTGTTTAATAATGTACTGGCAAATTAATATGTATTCGAAGTCCGAATTTATTTGGTTTGCATTTAAGCTGGCAATGTATGTCCCAATGACCAAATATGGAAGGAATGCGGCAGTACCTGTGAGTGGACATGTGATGAGAGGGGAAATCAAGTGGAGGATTGCAATACAGGTAGTTCACCTGGATGCTACTGTCCATCAGACAAAGTGAAGCTTGGAGACGAATGTGTAGATAGAGAAGAATGCAAAGATTGTAAGTGCAGTTAAAATTGTTGACCAACCATAAAACTGAAAACAAATTTTCTATTTTCAATTTTTGTAAGCTAATATGCCAAAAATACTAGTTTCGGCAATAATCATTGTTTAATGTGTTGTTAGTTTGTTTATCTAACTGTATTTATATTTACGGTACACAAACTAAAAAAACTAGATAAATTTAACCTTTGAGACAGGGAGACGTAAATGTATAGAGAAACGGGAAACTAATGAATTGTCATCAAATAATTGAACTTGCCAATAACTTGACACGTCTCATTCACTCCCTAAAACAGGCCAGAGGTTGTTATGACACTGTATTTAATGTAATTAGCTAACTATGAGAAGAGAAGCTTTAGGAGACGCAAACAAATTTATATCCTTTGAGCATCAAGTTGTCTAATGTTAAGTTGTAGATTTTTAACTGAAAAAATAGACAACCAATTGAGGGTAGTTCTTCTATCTATTTCCGTTAAGGTATCTGTGTTGGTTATGGTGATCCACATTACTATACATTTGACACGTTCTACTACCCCTTCCAAGGAGAGTGCACCTATGTACTGTCACGTGACTCATCATCAAATAGGGACTATGAAATATACGCGTCAAATGAGATTTGCATAAACGCACCAACTACTACCTGTACATACGAGATGACAGTGTTCTATAATAATCACAGTGTTGCTGTAACTCGTGAGAGAAAGGTAACATGAAAAAGCTAGGTAAGCCTAGAGGGTGGCAAGTGGAAAAGAAGATATATCTTTTCTTCGAGAATTAAACATCATTTTTACTCACGATGGATATCAACGAGTGGCAAAATAGTTCTTAATTCGAGTAACTCTATCCATTTCTAAGGAAATTACGGTGCCCATACACATTTCGAATAACGATATAATGATGATGATAATGATAATAATTCATAACAGTATTAATTCAATGGTGGTTATTACAATGATGCTAATAATGCAAATGTGATGTGTACATGACGCAGCTAATGGTAATAATAATAATAATAATTTTATTATTATTATTATTAAATATCAATTAAAACTTTATATCTCTGGATAAAGCAGAAAACAAAAGAACTTACGTTTTAAGCTTATTATTATCATTATTATTATAAATATTATTAATAATGATAATATTATTATTATTATTATTATTATTATTATTATTATTGTTATATTTGTTATTGGGATTTTTTACTAGATCTCTGTAGATGGGGATGATTGGATAATAGTGCCGCCTAAATATACAGGATATGGATTCGTAGTAGAACCAAAAGGTGTCTTCCAAATCTATGTGAGCATTCCAGCTATCAACCTTGAGTTAATGTACGACTATATCAGTGATTCCTTTATACTGACTGTGCCTTCCAGTCGATACTTCAACCAGACAGAGGGATTGTGTGGTAGGTGCAACACAAGACATAATGATTCATCATAACTGATAAATATCGGTGTACATTAAATTATTCATCGCATTCACCTGATGAAGAACAGGGAGTGATCGAAAGCTTTTGCAATAATCAATTTTGTGAAAAATGCTGTTTATCTTTAATTTACTTATTAAATTAGTGTAAATTCTCCCAGTGATTAACTTTACATTGGCCATGGTTTGTTAACTTATAAAATAATTAACTGTGTAATGATTTATCAGGAGGTCAATTCATACTGAATTTTTCTGCACTAATAATAATCGTTAAGTAGCCTATGATAGGATGTGCATGGTTATGGAATGACGGTCTTGTGTAAACATGTGTACCCTAAAAATAAAAAGGGCCTACTGCTCAAGTGGAAGCAGATACGAATACATGTCTTGGTATATGACTGTGTATCCATTGACCATCATCATTATTAGACTTCATCATTCTACAATTAATAACTCTATCCCAGGATAATTTACACAATCGTTTATTAATATTTGTATACTTTTCCCTATAGGAATCTGTAATAAAGATCCATCGGATGATTTGACAATGCCGAATGGCACAATGACCAACAACACCGACGAGTTTGGATTTAGCTGGCTTGTTGATCGGAACTGCACTAATCCTCCTGGTGAAACTTGTACAGTTGGTGATGAGCAACCGGAAATTTGTGATGTACTATATCGGCCGCCATTTTCAAATTGTAGCATTTTTGTAGAAACTAGTCCATTTCATAACGCATGTGTTTTTGACACCGTGTGTGGAGAGGGGCCATGTGATACACTGGATACCTATGCTAGACTGTGCAACGAACAAGGAGGGTTATGTATCGAATGGCGAGAAGAAGTGGATATATGCCGTAAGATATAGTCTTTGATAATGCTCATACTGACGGCTATATAGTAGTTGCGTTTTGGAAATGGAAGAAAAAATAATTTATATATGTCAAAACATTGCAATATAATTACTTTGCTATATGAATGGTTCATAATTCACTATTGACCAAATTCAGTCTCTCTGCTAATTACCATCTTTATATCATTTTGAAAAACAAATCCTAACCTTTTTGGTGTTGTTGGATTAGTTTCTACAATAGAGAGGCAAGATATCTTAACTAGAAAACTAGGAGCTGATTTTTAAACATGTTTGTGTGGAAAATGGCATCTAACTAACCATAAAATAATTATTCCTAAATCAGATTTTCTTTTTATCTAGCATATCCCGAATGCGATGAATTAATGGAATACAAGGCGTGTCATGAAGGTTGTCAGGTTTTGGGCTGCGATGAATGGCTCGAACGAGGTGGTGAGCAAGTCACGTGTAAAAATTTAGAGCTAGATGGTTGCTATTGTCCAGATGGACTCATCATGAACAGCACAGGACACTGTATCAGCCCGGAAATTTGCTGTAAGTAGGTCTACAACATGGTGTGCCTTTTGTCTACCACAGATCACATTAGTCCACCTGCTATAATTCTATGATAAGTAGTATATAATACTCTTTGCTAATTCAACCAAATATGTTAATACTGAGATGTAACAACACTATTTTCACCACATTGAAATCAAATATGTCCCCTAAACTTTCACTAATGGCTTTTACCCTGATATAATGGTGATCATAGCAATTGCTTTAATTCAAAATAATGATGTTTTATAATTATCATCCAGCATTTTGTGAATATGATGGAAAAAAGTACGAGACAGATGATAGTTGGCGGATCAACGAATGTGAAACAGGAAGATGCGTTAACAGAACTGTTGTCATAAGTACCACAGTATGCCCAACGCCACCTTCATGTCAATCAGACGAGCGGCTGGTATCAACGGTTGTCGACGGAGATTGCTGTTTGAAATATGAATGTGGTAAGACAAATGATAGGTGTGATAGAAACGAATTTAGGAATGATGAGTGTGGAAGTGAGTGGTAACTGAGAATGACGAAAGAATGAATTAACTAATGAAGTATGAGTGCGATGAGTAAATCACAGGGCATTATCACCAATATGGTCTAATCTGATTTAATCTAATCCATTTTATCCAAATGGAAATGTCTTAATTCAATACTTCAGTTAGTAATTGAATTATTCATTATGGAAAGTATTTAGCCCTATCTAATAAACTTATAGTTTGAATATTCGCTTTCAACTCCGTGATGTCGTTATTCATTGAATATTGCTCTGATAAGAAGCGTGCTTAATAACACTGTTGATTTTTTAGTCTGTTACTGTGCAGCTATTATAGCACCAACGTGTCCATTTGGTTATGAAGAATCAATCACCCTCTCTGAAACACATTGTGGTTGTCCACATGCCACTTGTGGTAAGTAAGAAATATCATTATAAAGGGAGAGTGCAGAAAACATTTTTATAACATTTTAGAAAACGATCATATTCAAATAGTATTTCTCGTTAGAGTTCGTATACTAAGGAACATGTTCGGTTTCAAGCTCCTTTTCTCACAGGAACCGGTGTTCGAACTGTTTAAAAACAAAGTGTCAGAATGAGACTACTATAGAAAACGGTAGAAAACTGTGTTTTTTTCAGTTGCACGGTGAGGTGAGATCCAGCGGATTGGGGCACACGAGGAACCCTTGTCGGGAAACCATGAAATTATTTTGTCCGGAAACACTGCCTTGAGAGAACATTTTCTATTCTTAAAATTTGCTCACCCCAGCCCCAACTATGATCGAGCTGAGTTGGGTATACCCATGGCGAAAACTTTGTATATATTATAGTAGTAGGAGTATCTTTAAAACCGCCACTGAAAAAAATGCCGGTCTTCACAATACGGTATTTGTAGTTTCCAAAATACTTGACAAGTAATTCAGTATTTGACCATAAACTGACAAATACAAAAATAATTGAAGTCAAGTATCATAATCACTACAACTTCATTTATTATCATATTTATTAACTAATGGCTGTCTTTATTCAATAGTTCCAAGAGAAGTCTGCTTGTACAATTCAACCATTATATTAGAGGTAGGCTAACGTCAGTCATCAAATCTATCAAGTTGTATTAACGATACAGCATACTGTCTGTGTTAAGCTACTATACTTCAATAATAATTTTTAATATTTAAATTGATGATAATAAAACATTATGGGGAAATATTTTCCTCGGCACATACGCATTATTGATACTCTTCCTATAATTTCATACAAACTTAAATTTGCCGACTAGTAGAATCTCTCTAAATCAGTAAAAATATTAATGTTTTGAAAAGTTACTTATTTGATTTTTTGAAAGTAGCTCATTCAAAGTTCATTTAAATATGTTAGTTCCCGTATCACATAGGTAAAATAATACCACAGTGGTTCTTCTATTGTTTTCAAAACAGGCTGGTAGCATTTAATAGGCCTATAATGAATTGTGTAGCACTCTTTAATTCATCCACTCAGTAGCTTCAAGCTGAAAATTCCCTTCACAAAGATTATGTTATATTCTCATTTGTATCACAGCCAGGTGAAGCCATTGAAGTTGACTATTGTACAACGTGTACATGCTTAGAGGATTCGCCTGTCCCTGGGAACTTCTATAGATACGATTGCAATACACTGGGCTGTTCTAACTGTTCTGAGGTAAATATTTGCACCAACCACAAACCGATACACTCCTCATTGTTGTTAAAATGGAAAATGCAGCACCTTGCAGATATACTGTAGGTTTTAATCTTGATATTTCTGTGGTTTTTATCTCGAATTAAAATTTTTATTGTGAATAAGGGCCTGTTTGACCACGTAGACCTATGTATAATCAATCAATCAATTAATCACAAAAACTTGCAAAGCGCCGAGTATCCATATAATATGTTCAATGGCGCTCAAACAGCAGGGTTTTTAGTCGCTTCTTAAAAAACATAACACTCTATGCATAGACCAATAAAAATTGTACGTGAAATATAAAAAGTGTAAGACGGCAACATCTCTTGAAAATAGGAATATAGGAATATAATTATGTCATCACAAATATGCTTTTATCTTGATGTGCTGCATAATAAAGATTATTATTATTCTTACATTGGAACGATTTTGTATTTGTGTATGTTATAATGATCATATCTATGATAATGATATATATTTATCTTTCTAAAAAGGGCTATGTTTCTGTGCCTAAGGAAGGAGTTTGCTGCGGCGAGTGCAAACAAAAATACTGTATGGATCCTGAAGGCAATTACAAAAGTGTAAGTTTTAAAATATGGCTACCAACGTTGGATAACTATGCGTATCTATTACTATGTGAACGTATTGTTGATATAATGGTATATTATTGGATAGGCCTTATAGGTGGTCCTCGCCTAACAGCCAATCAGGTAGCATTCACCTTCCTTATAACCCAGTCTTCCCTTCCTTCACCATCATCATCATCATGAAACATGCTGCACATTTGTCTACCTTATAATGATATAATCGTGGAAAATGTTGCTATCGTTTTAGACTGGTGACACATGGTCACCAACGCCATGTGACACTTGTACATGTGTTGAAAATGGTGACGAGGTGAAGGAGAGTTGTGTCACTACAGCATGTCCGCCTTTCAATGAATCTGCCTGTATTGAACCAGAGGTAAGAGTGAATACTTTTTATTAAACCATGATTCCCAAGCTGTGGGCAATGGTTCACTGCACTGCGATTTACATACGTTTCACTAGTGAACCATTGCACAGAGCTTGGTTCACTAAAATGAACATGTATTTCTTAAACCACTACTTACGCCTATTTTTATGTATTTGTTTTTTTCAATAACTTTAACATAATATAGTATCACAGATCCTGTATAGGATCTGTGATAATACGAAGTGCACAATGCGGCCTGTAAGTAGACTATACCTATGGCAACATATGAGCTAAAAAGTTACTGTTGGTTTTTTAATTTCAGTCGGTCATCAAACTGGATCCCTCCGGATGCTGTCACATTTGTGGTGAGTTTTGCATGGTATTACAACGATACTTCTGTGCAGCTACATGTCTAATAAGTAGTAACTGGGGCTCTAAATGGGAGTCAGCAACAGGTTCCCACTGGGTTTAACGGGGTCCAGCGTTTCATGTAGTTAGATGCCTAATCCACACGATTACAACAATGCGGAAATACAAAATAAGTTAAGCAATGAATTACAATTGGTAAATACATGGTTAATTATTAATAAGTTGTCGCTTAATTATATTAAAACTTACTCAATATTATTTGGTTCAAATCGCATGCTTAAAAATCAACCTAGTTTAAGAGTGCACTGTAATGGTAACATTATTGAGAACATTAGTCAGTTGAATATTTAGGAATTTTACTGAATCGTTATCTTAATTGTGAAGAAATTACTTACTCTGTTTTAAAAAAGGTTAATTCTATAGTTAAATTCTTATATCGAATTAGACAATACCTTAACTTTTACACTCTAAAATTGTTAGCCTCCAGTCTTATTCTATGCAATTATGATTACGGATGCAGTTTTTGGTATGCTTGCTTAAGAAAATCATTAAAAGTAAAGTTATAATCTTCTCAAAATAAATTTATGAGATGTATTTGTGTCTACTGGGTTATCGGTGCACGGAGCGACGTAATTTCAATCTGCAACGAGAAAAGGGGTCCGGTTGTATATCCACACAAGGAAATGCAATAAATTGAAATTATTACGCCGACCGAAGAACACCAATTGTGGTGTACCTACACCCATTGACACAAAGAGTTTTTCTGCTGATGTCTGAAAATTTATTTGTGTCTACTGGGCTAAGAATTAACTATATGGACCCGCCCACTCTTGACCACCACCCTCAATACACTGTACACAATAAGTAACACATGATCTGATAACGGTGTGATTCGGTCATGATTTATTACGACAAAAGGCAAAGGGACCGTCGCACACGATCGGTCCCTAAATTAATTTACATAGTAAAAATTCTTAAAAAGTGGCCAACAAGCCAAGCGGAAGGGTGCTGACCCCGAAAGGAATTATCGGTGCACGGAGCGAGGTAATTTTAATCCGCAACGAGAAAAGGGGTCCGGTTTTATATCCACACGAGGAAATGCAATAGATTGAAATTATTACGCCGACCGAGTGACACCAATTGGGGTGTACCTACGCCCATTGACACAAAGAGTTTTTCCGCTGATGTCGGAAAATTTATTTTTGGTATATCTCCCAGGGCTCATATTGGTGCCAATGAATTTTCCAAATTAAACTGGCTTCCAATTGACCTTAATTTAAATAAAATTGACCAATATGTATCGCATTTTAAACAATTTAAGCCCAAAATATCTCAGGGAAGGAATACAAAGAGCCAATTCAATACATAATTACAACAATAGATTCTTTAAATTTGCTATATATAGACATGTTATTGGTACCCATGCTCAAACTACATTTCTATCCTCAACAACAAGTATTTGGAATTCATTACCAAGTACAATACAACAGTCATCATCAATCACGAATTCAAAAGAAAAGTAAAAGATAATGTAAAAAAATTGGTTAACCAGAGGAAATAATAATGGTAATGATCGTTGTGTTGAGTGAATATTTTGATTGTTGTTATGAAATCATATTTGGAATTAATTAATTTTTAAGGACCACAATGGAAATAAGTTTTGTTACTTTATTGTGTTTTTATCCTTGATATGTTTATGCTATATATGAATTTCGAATAAAATGAAATGACATAATAATTGTCAAAGAATTGTCTCAGATTGGGATTTGACTTTTTATCCCCTGCTTAGTATGCAGATGCTTCTACCAACTGCTGTAAGACACATGGGCTTACCTATTCCTGTATATTTGACTATTATGATGATGACTGTCACACTACACATACATGAACACCTACATTTTATTTGTCATCTTTGTATAATTAGTAATACCACATGGTCCAGAAAAACAGGAACATAATATAAACGCATAAGTTGTATTTCGTATATGGGTTAAATTAAGCTGACCACATACTTGTTAATATTTAGTTCCAGGAAGCTGTAAGAAAGTAGTGAAGCAAGAAGCCCTCCGTGTTGGTAACTGCAGCAGTAATTCAACAATTGATCAAAGCTTTTGCGAGGGACGTTGTGATTCGTCAGCTCAGTACGACCACACACTTGGAATAGTTAAAAATGATTGCCACTGCTGTCAATTCAATGACCATGAAACTATGGAAGTCCGGATGACTTGTGACGATGGCAGCGAGTATTTCCAGACACATATTTACGCCAAGTCGTGTGGCTGCAATGAGTGCCTTGACAATGGCGTTGGCTTAGAAAAGTAATTTAACCGGGTTACCGATAATGTTAAAAACTTTAAAATTGATCTTTTATAGACTTAGCTATAATTTTATTACTAAATTATCTTGATTCACAACAAAAGTGCATCTATAGTGTGTATTTAGAGGCCAATCACACTGCTATCCAAAACATTAAATTAAACAATCAATTCATGAAATTGTTAGGAATGATAGTGCAGGTAATGTACATTCAAGTATTTGTTCTCAATAAAATAAGATTAACTTATTTATATCTAGAATTCTGGAATTGGCCTGTGATTTTCCGTCCTCTATTGAAAAAAAAAATTATTTTGAAGCTTAATTTCTTTCAACGTTAATAAGCATGTAATTCTGTCTGGTTATAAAGAGATTGCTAATAAAGCATAGTAGTAAACTGCAATAGTGGTTGTGTATTTATTTATTTATTTATGGTAAATGATAAATAGTAATAAAACAGTAATGGGATGTAGTTGGTTTCACGTATGTCTCACAAATAGATAATTGCAGATACAACACTTTAACGATTGCATACGTTAACATTATAAAGACATAAACTTTATTTCAGACGAATATTTTGGACACCCAGCGCTTGTCGGTGATTGAGAAATACAAGCAGATCTGATAATGCTAACAAGACAGAATCCAAAAACAATAAGCACATAATCAGTGGCGTAACGCCCATTAGCTATCGGGGGTGCAGCCTTGGTCCCCACTCAAAAAGGCCCCTGGGCCCTCCTACTACTACCTAGCACTTTACTACCGAGCCTTAACAGTGGCGTAACGCATGTGCTTTCCAGTTCCAGTCCAGTACTACAACGTCTTGACAACACGGTATCTTTTTCTAAAATTTTTAAAACACGTCCAAATAGACCAAAATCCGACCAACATACTCTTTGGTAGATTTTTTAGAAGGTTCCCCTCCTTCACGACCCCATTTTATTGTAGAGCTTTTACCAGTTATGTAACGCCTGTGTGCTTTCTGGGACACGCCCAGTTCCAAGTCCAAATGAAGCCATTGGATCCCTTCTTACTGCTACCCAGCACTCTAAAATAACGCTTATTAGAATACAGTGCATTTTTCTTTTAATTTTCAAAAGTGTATGGGGCCCTGGCCGGCTAAATCTCCACAGCCTATAGTTGTTTTAGTTTACTATTAATTAATTAGTTTACTAAACAATGATATTGCATGTGCTGTGTAATTACTAAAAGTCATAGCTCTAACTGCCATCTTCTAAGTTAAATAAGTTTAAATAAGAGTAGAAGACACCGCCCCATAATTCAAGACTATACGTTATATGAGATCGAATAAATGTCTTGTATGATTATATTTTGTGGAATATATAGTCCAAGTTGAAATAAAAATAATGCTAATTTATTGTCTCAAAATAATATTACTGTAACGTGTTCAATATGCTTATTCTAATTTAAATTTGTATTAGGAGGGTCCCTCAGGGGCCTCTGAGTAGGGCACATGGCTGTGTCCTCTGGAGCTCATGGGCATTATTCCCTTTTCGAGTTCCTCTCGGCTTCAGCACTGAAACTGCAATTTTGGGGGATAATGTGTTGTTTATCTTACCCCCATGGAGAATACTCTTAAATGTTGTAGGCTTATATCCAGTGGCGTATCTAGGAGTCTTGAAATAAGGGGGAAGGGTTTATGGGGAGGGGAGGACGTATGTCATGTGAGTTGGCCCTTGATGATTATGTGAGGGACGCTAGCTCGCAAAATAAGCTAATTTTAGGTGATTTTTAAATACTTTAATTGAGCTTTATTTTTAGGGGGCGACTGTGGCAGCGCGAGTATCTTTGGAGGGGCGTGCCGCCCGATGTGATCAAGTTGTGAAAATATTGCATCTGTAGATGCTCGGAAACAGCAGTTGACTTCTTGCAAATCAGCTACCCTTATTTCAACCCTTGTCCTAATCCCATGCCGAGGCAGAGATTTACAGTGGAAAGTGAACTAGATACCATACCCAACTCAGGATCACCATGTTTCAAACAGTGGCTCCTCTGCCGGAAAATAGCACATGCATACTTTTAAAAATAATGAATGAACTCTAAAAGGGTATATATTTTGATTGCAAATAATTAGGACCGGCTTAACCATTATATCTTTGTTTCATGCAGACAGTTAGGCCGGCTCCCACCCCAAATAGTTAACTGTCTTTTTATTTATACCTCTAAAAATATTCAAAAATCAATCTAAATTAATAAAATTAAGGATTGAAAAAAAAAGTTTAAATGTACATGCAATATAAAAACAAGCGCATGGTAGATAAAACACATCAAAAAGAAAATGTGATGTGAACATTAATTATTAAACTATGTAATAGGTCTGAGAAAATGTAGTCCGGCCAAAGCCGGCGCGGCTCTGACGGCCCTGAATGAAACGGGTGGTATTTGGGAGGATGAATCACTCGATTATCATCAGTTCAGGTAGCTTTTGGGCTCACTGTTGTATTATTGTGTAACGGTAGCTGCCTGGAAGGACCTTCCGGAACTCTATGTTTTAGACGTTTCGTTTGTCATACTTTCTACGCTGAACGTCATATTACATCACATGTTTTTGAAGAATTAAAAGTTACATAACAGCCTATACTGATCCCATTGGAAGTCATTTTCTTTTAAAAAGGCGATTGTCATCCTACAATCATCAACATCATCATAATCATCGACATTATCATCACTACCATCATCACCAGCGATCGCTCCAGAAATTGACCGACTCGGTCCGAATCCCGGATTATAAAAAGTCCATGATAGGGTTCACAAGGAGAGTTTTTATGGCTTAGTAGGCCTACAGTCCAAATTGTCCTTTTAAACCACAATATTAGGGATTGACAATAAAAATAACGTTATTTGGATAGGAAAAATATAATTTTCTTATATTTGTCGTCGAAAGACAGGCCTGTCTGACGGGGGTTCCCCTTTCTCTAACCTTCGCTGGCGCCATCACTTATTATCACCATCCTCATTATCATAAAAGAATGACGCTTTAAAAAAAAGAATAATGAGTTGTTTTTTATACCTCTCCAGGTGGCGTTTTACATATAAACAATACTGTAAATGGATTTGAACGTCTACGAAGGAAACTTTACATTTAATAAATGTGAGTACAATATCGAACATTTTCCATCGTTAATTCAACAGTTAAATGTGAATTCTGTCAACATACCATGGTTATTGATTTGACTAAGTTTGTTAGGCACTGAAACCATTGACAAATTCCTCGATAGAGACATGCACGGACATGGCTATATTCTATTCAACTACAAAATACATTTCAAGATCAACTCGCTAACGATCGAAAACCTGAAACTGGCTAATTAAACAATAAATGCTATTTACAGCCTGGGGCTTGTTAAATTCCGTTCGTCGTTTACATTGTATGGCTAGATTTCGAAAACCTGAAACTGGCTAATTAAACAATAAATGCTATTTACAGCCTGGGGCTTGTTAAATTCCGTTCGTCGTTTACATTGTATGGCTAGATTTGTATCTGGTTTTTTTTTTTTTTTTCTTTTTAATTTGACATTATATGAAATTATTATCTGGTACACAACTTTTAATCATGAATAATCGATTTGTTATACCCGATAAAAACATTTTCTATATTATATTTAAGGACAACTAAAGTGATCGAGTTAGGCTTAGATGGCACCGTATTTATCAATATTATTTACCCTCATGAATATGTACCTCCATGATGTTGATATCAAAATAGCTACCAATGGCGGATCCAGGAATTCGAAATAGAGGGTCTCAGGGAGGTACGGTACTTTTACAAATGAATTTCTGATTATGGCACTGGAAATGATTTAAATTTGAATACAAATCTCCTTGTTCCATTTTGAATTATTTTGGCGGTGGGGGGCATCTGCACACACAAGCGCCGTTATCCGTTTAAGAGAAAACGCTCATGGCACTCCTCCAAAACAAAGTCGAAACATGAAAAAAGAAAATTAAGGAAACCGTTTACAAACCAGAAAATAAAGTTTATATTATATGATCCGTACATGAGTGAGAGTCACTATTTCCATCACCATCATCACCATCATCACCAGTGGGGGGGGACCCCCCCCCCCAGGGGGGGGGGGGGGGTGGTTCTTAACCAAGAGGCCTACTGGAGCTTCGGTCCGAGTACCAAAATGAGAAATCCCAGGTGGGGTTCACCGGAAGAGTATTAATGGCTTAGTATGCTCCGAATTGTGCTTTTAGACCACAATATTATTAGGCCTATAATTGACAATCAAAATAACATTATTTGGATAGGCCAAATATAATTTGGGATCCAGACCTGTATGGGGGAGAGATCCCTGCCCCCTCCTGCTGGTGCTACCACCACTGATCATCACAATCATCATTATTATCATCATAAATGATTTGTGCTTTAGGAATTAATAATGAGTTGTTTTTATATGCTTCTGCAGGTGACGTTTTACCTATAAACAGTACTGTGGAAATGGTTGAAACTCTACGAAGGAGACTTTACAATTCATATGTGAGTACAGTATTGAACATTTTGCATCATTAATTCAATAGTAATAGGGGAATTCTGCCAAAATACTATGGTTATTATTTTGACTAAGTTTGTTAAGCATTGAAGGTTTTAGACTATTTTCTCGAGAGCCCGAGTTACCTTAACGTATAAACAAGCATCGGACTCCATGACAAAATGTATAAACAAGCATCGGACTCCATGACAAAAAATATTAATTTGTTGATCTAATTGTGGTCAAAAAGCACATGGATGATCCTAATCCGTAAAATTTCTCCCCATGAACCCCACCCCTGGAATTTTATTCCGGGAGCTTGAACAAGGCTCTAAGCAGCCCCTTGTTTCAGACCCCGGTCAGAATTGCTTTACTCCTGCCGGTATTCTTCTCATTTGCCTGATTTACGGACATGTACTACAAAAATTCTTAAATTGACACTACCAGCCAATTTAAGTGTCTATGTATATATAAGAATATAGCAAATTTGTTATTTAACTGTCTGTTAATTGACAGGAAAACAAATTGTCACATTGGAAATGGGCGTTCCTAATGTTCATCAAATTTTAATTTGATAAAACATTTTTTTTTATCTTGCTTGTGCATGTTGAGCATCGAATAAATTAAATCAATAAATATTATTTCATGAAATATGTTTGCATGAAGATAGAGATATTTATTTATGTTTATATCAAATGTTTGACTATACCTGTATTTATGAATCTATATTTTTATTTCTATCGAATGGTAAACTTTTATAGATTTTATTTACCCATGAAAATCGAATGCTAGTATTTTGCTCACGCTAGAGTAGACCTACCTAATACCATGTATACTCATTCATTTTGATGATACTATAATAATTAATATTCTATATGATAATGCTAATATGATAAGAAGTGTGAAGTACTATTCTGTTGTACCATCAGCAGCGTTGTCCAATATTTCGATAACTGAGTACGATACGGTAATGTTCAAGTGGAGGTGCTCTCTAATTTGTATTTATTATTATATTATGTTTTGACGTTATAATCCTTTCTCTGTTTCTAAATCTGTTCTCAATATTTTTCTATTCCGGTAAGGTAGACAAAGAATTCACAAATGTCAAGAACGGATGTCTGGACTCGATCGTGAAAGGGCAACAGAACTTATAGTACCAACTACTATGGATAGACAAACATGTTATCAATCATCAAGCTTCCTGTACAAATTCTGAATATGAAATTAATTAAAATATATTGGGATTTTTTTTAATGTTAGCAATATTTATGAATTTGTGTAGGTTTTATGTTTATTAATATTGTATTATTACTACTAATATTTATCTTATAATAGAAAAATAACCCGTAATGTTCTAACGACGACATATTATGTAAGAAAATAAAGATTAAAATCATGCCTATTGATTTTTACCGAATGTACATTC